ACATACATACATACATACATACATACATACATACATACATACATACATACATACATACATACATCTCTATATCTCTTTATCTCTCTATCCATCTATTTTTATTACACACATCTTCCCTTTCTATCACGGGGGGGCTAGTGCCTACTTGTATTTATAATTCTTTACATTATTTAGGATCTATCAGATTACTGTTTCTATTTGTTTTGTATTTTTCTGTTCAGAACAGGGTGGAGGAGATCATTGAGACGTTCACTCCTGTACCAGACGGAGTCCACAGCTACAGTAAGTTTCTCATCRTAACAAAGCTTTTTAAGGATAAACACTCTGTGAAGATAAAGACGTATTCCGTCAAGGACCCCTGTGTTCACTGAACGTTGCGGTGGATGTCAGTGAAAAACCTGCTTTTTGTGACTTTTATTGCAGACAGCACCCACCTACCGTTTGGTAGACCAGCAGTTATGTTTGGGACTCAGTACAGTCTTCTTCATCATGTGGAATTCATCAGTGGATACAGCAAAGAACTGGCCATGCCACTCTGGACGGCATACACGCTGCCTCGGCAGGTACACAAACATCTAGTAATTTATTTTATTTATTATTATTTTACATTTCTGCACCCCAACAATATCCTGGGTTGGTCAGAAGTAAGGTTAAAAGGAGGTTCTCAGGTTAAGAAAAATGCACATTTTGCTGGACTTCAAGCAGTTCATTCATTTGAACAGAGTGTTAGTGTTTTAACCTGATGCTGCGGGATAAAGCACAACGTGTTGCTGTTTCAAAAGCTGCCATTTTGTTTGAGTCACTAACATAATGATTGCTCAGAAGCGTACAGCAAACACAGACTCTTTTTTCAAAGTGTGAACAGGAACGTTCTCCTAAAGTGTACAGAAACTAGYTGAAGGTTTATGATGCTCATGCATCCACCAGCATACTAAACTGCAGAGTTGTATTTAAATTACTGCAAAAACAAGCTTTATATTGTTTCCTTCWGCTTCTGTTAGGAGGTCAGGGGTTGTGATTGTTGACCTGATGCTGTGGCTTCCTCCTGTTATGTTTGAAGCTTTTGTCTTGCAGGAGGACCCCACTCCTTTGCCAGAAGTTTCACCAAACATTAACTGCATCCGAATCGACCCGAGAGTTTCGCCCRATTACAGTCAGAGCTGCACAGCCTACAGCCAGAACAGCCACCTGACCCACGGCTTCCTCTTCCCGCCAGGTAAAGCCACGCCCCCTGGGGAGGAGTCTTTGAATTGCAGAACAACCAAACAATCAACAAGGTGCATCTGGTTTACTTTGGATTTGTTTCTACATTTGCAGAGTTTGCAACGTCTCCGCATTCCAGATTTGATGCTTCTCTCATCACCAACACTGTTCCCATGTACCCAGCCTTCAAAAGTACGTGAATGTCAAAGAAAAGGAACAGAAACATTWTGGGGTGCCATTCAGTCAAAAATTACCACCAAAATGTTTGTTTTATTTAGCCTTTTATAAGAAAAAAAAAAGAACAGATTTATTTTTCAAAGTCAGTTTTTCACCATATGATTCATTCATTTGTAAATGTCATAGTT